GGGGGCAGTCGCCACCTGGGTCGGAAGCAGTGGTGGTTTGGACAGGAGGGGCTGGCCCTCCGCTGACCCGGGTGACAAAGGTCTGGCTCAGGGCTTCTCGGGGACGTAGCGGTGGATCCAATCCAAGTAGTAGGTGACGCGGGTGTAGATGCCGGGCCGGTTGGGCAGGGCACAGCCCTCGCCCCAGCTGACCACGCCCGCCTGCAGCCAGGTGCCATTCACCTTGCAGACCAGGGGCCCTCCGGAGTCGCCCTGCGAAGGTCACGGCTCAGCGCTCGCCGGCCAGGCCCCGGGGATCGGGGTGGGGGACACGAGGACCCACCTGGCATGAGTCGTGCTTTTCGCTCCCCGCACACAGCATGTCGTCGCGGACGATTCGAAAGCTGTCCCCCGTGTGGAGGCCGGCGTGATACTCCGCGTCACAAAGGTGGTTTTCCACTATGGGGACTTCCACCTCCTTCAGCGGGTACGGCGGCGGCAGGCGCACTGTGGACAGAGCGGCAGGTGGAGCCGGGCCTGGGGCCAGATGGCTGCTGCGGCGTGGACTTGGCGGCCGAGTCATGGGCCGGGGAGACAGCGCCATGTGGCCAGCACTGTTCTGTGCCTGCGGCCCCTGGGAAGGGCGGCGAGTGCGGGCCGGGCCCCTCCCCTGAGGCTGGTCCTGGGTCCCAGCCTCATTCAAGCCCCATCTGGGGAAGGGAGAGGAGGGCCCTGGAGGTTGCCAGGCTGGGCTCCATGGCAAAGGAGTGCAGGGCCTGGGCCCCTGTCTCCCCCTGGGCTCAGCTGACTTTGGTCTGGGCTGGGCCCACGGTCCACGGTCCACGGTCAGACCCACAGTGGAGGGGAACACAGGGCCCTGGGCTCAGCTTCTCCTCTGTGTGGGGTGGAAGAGCAGGACTGCGGCTCTGGCCCCCTCTGAGTTACCCCGAGGTCACAGCCCAGGGCCGCTGCTCAGGCCCCAAAGCTTTGCTCTGAATTGTGGACAAAATGGGGACAAGACCTACTAAAAGTGAAAATGTGCCTCATGGAGGGTCAGAGTGAGCTTCGTCCAGCCCCCCACAGCACCTGCCACCACCTCAAGTCCCAGGCCCCTGAGCTGACCATGGCACAGGGAGGGAGGGCAGGCGGATCTCATCCCAGCACCCGTCTCTGTCCTTCCAGCAAGACCCCCGTTGTGATTTCTCTCCTCACATAGCAAGTCCGCGACGTACGAACTTTCGATGCACCCTTTCAGGCTGGGGAAACCGAGGTACGGAGGTGACAAGGGACTTGCCCAAGCCCTGCGGTTAGGGGGCGCCCAGGCCTGTTGGACTCACCGTCTCTGCTCAGGGCACCGGCTGCCTCTCGCCACCGCCCCCTCCATTCATCCTGGCCTCCAGAATCCCCTCCCTGAGCCGCCCCGAGGGACCCCATCACCCCAGGCGCTGGCCCGTGACTGTGACCTGGTGCCCACCTGGCCCAGCCTCCCGCTGTCCCCGGACCCACCATCATTGTCCACGTCGCCCCAGCCGGTGACCCAGCACGGCGTCCCCGGGGGGAAGGTCTCCGAGGCAGGGGGCAGGGTGACCGTGTGGACGTGGCTGGAGACGTTCACGGGCTCCTCCAGCTCCAGTAGGGCGATGTCCGCCCCGGTCTGGACAGTGTAGAACTGCGGGTGCACGATGATCCTGCTGACCGGCAGCAGCTGGTCCTGATAGTAGAGGTGCTGCTCCCGCAGCTGCACCCTGAGGTCGGCCAGATCCTTGACGTCCCTGGCCAGCGGAGGCTCCCATTCAGGGCTCTGGGCAGCCTCCAGGAGCACCCGGGAGCCAGGGCACACATCCGGCCCTCGCCCACCCCACCAGGCCCCGGGAGACTCACGGTCCCACGCAGTGTGCCGCGGTCAGCACCCACTGGGGGTGGATGAGGGAGCCCCCACAGAAGTGTATCCAGTACTGGCCGTGGAGTCTCAGGCTCACTTGCCAGGGCCACTTGCTCCTGGGGGCCTCCTGACCCCCGACGATGCCCGCGCGCTGCAGGGCCTGGCCTGGGGCTGGGGCAGGAGCCAGTTCAGGACCAGGAAGCAGCCCCCCACCTGGACACAGCCCTTCCCTGTGTGGGGGCCAGCCCGGCCTCCCCAGAACCCACCCAGGCCCTGGCCTGTGGAATGTGGTGAGGGGCAGGGCGGACCCCGGCTGGGACTCACCAGGGGCCGTGTGGGCTGGGCTCACCAGGACGGGCAGCGCCAGCAGCAGCAGGTTCAGCATCTGGGGAGCAAGGAGGGGCATCGTGGGCCTGGCCGGGGCTCACGGGGCAGGGCTGGGGGCTGCAGATTGTGGGGTGAAGAATGGAACTGGCACGGGGGGCCTGGGTCTTGGTGCTCTGAGTCTGAGGCTGGGCCACTCTGCTCCAGGTGACACTGATGTCAGGGTCTCTGAGAGTGGGGACTTACCCTGGCCGCTCCCTGTTCCTTCTACCCAGCAGGCTTTCCCCTCCCCATTTATCCTTCCAGATCAGGACGGCGTGGAGGAGGGGCGCTGCGCCCTCCCATCCAGATACGGAGGAAGTGGGTGACTCAGACCCAGGGCCCCCATGTAACACGTGCCCCCGCCACCCTGACGCCCTCTGTGTGTGGGGCTGCCAGGCAGGCCCCGCCGAGGGCTGAGCACTGGAGGCTCGCAGCTCCGCCTGTCAGCTGGTGGATCCCAGCACCGGAACGCACCACCTTCCCGCTGGTGGGATCAGCTGCCCTGTCCCGGTGCCAGGAGGCCTTCAGGCACAGCTGCACCCAGGCGGCCTGGCTGCCCCATGCTACAAGACCAGTTGCCCCGAAACCTGTTTCCCCAAGAGGGACACGGGATGGGGAACTCATGACCACGGGCCACCCTCCGAGAGACAGGAAGGTGCCCACAGGATGGGGACATGACAGGTGTCACCTCTCCTACAGACTCCGAATCCACGGGGGTGGGGCCAGCCCTCCTCGACTCACTTGGTGGGGGGCTCACAAGAGACCCCCTTGTCAGATGAGGAAACAGCCTTCAGAGGGGACGGCACCGAGTGTCCTCAGCCTGGAAGGGGCCCTGCTCCCTGTAAGAATTAAAGAAAGAGGAGAGAAACACGAAGGGCAGCCTCACAGTCAACAGGGACAGGTTTATTTTAAGCAAACCGGAGAGGGGCGGCTGGCTGAGTTAGGTCAGAGCCACACGCTCTCAGAGAGTAAGAGTTTTAAGGATTGAGGGCGAGAGAGCTTATCAGAGACTTGCAGTGCTTCTGTGACTCCTCGTTGCGCTTCTCTGGGAGGGAGAGTTGTGTGTCTGTTCCCATACAACTTCCCGCAGCTGCAGGCATATGGCATACCCCGTCTGCTTTTAGCTTCCCTGTCTTAGTGCACCTGAAGGGAAAGGAAGGTGTTATTAAGGCCCATTGTATGAGGGTGAAGTTTGGCAGTTACCCAAGAGACTTTCTCTCCACCTCCCTCTGTGCTCAGCCTGCCTTATCTGCTTTTTGGCTGCTTATAGTTAGAAAAGAAGTGGTGTCCTTGAAATGCAGGAGGCTGGAAAGGGAGCTGGAACTGAAAGCGGCGGTGTTTGTCCGAGATGAGGGTGCTCCTGTTCCATCACTCCCACTCCCCATATGAGACTCAAGTCCTCCTGTGAGTCCTCAATGTCCACATTGGGCCGTCTGTGCCAGCCGTCCCCCTGGTCGGCGGGGCTGCCTCATGTATGCTGGAATTCTGGAGGTTTCATCCGCAGGAGGAGGGAGCAGACGAGAGTGGCGGGTGTGCAACTCAGGGACCCAGCCCAGCTCCCCCACGAACTCACGCCAGCCCCAACCCAGCTCCCCACTGGACTCACCCCAGGCCCCAGCTAGCCCAGCTCCCCGCGACTCACCCCCAGCCCACCTCGCCCAGCTCCCCGGACCTCACCCCAGCCCCAGCCAGCCCCACGGGGACTCACCCCAGGGCCCCCAGCCCAGGCCCTTCCCCACGGATGCACTCAGCCCCAGGCCCCAGCTCCCCACGGACTCACCCCAGCCCCAGCCCAGCTCCCCACGGACTCACCCCAGCCCCAGGCCCCAGCTCTCCACGGTCTCACCCCCGGTCCCAGCTCCCCACGGTCTCACCCCCGGTCCCAGCTCCGCACGGTCTCACCCCTGGTCCCAGTTCCCCACCGTCTCACCCCCGGCCCCAGTTCCCCACGGTCTCACCCCCGGTCCCAGCTCCCCATGGTCTCACCCCCGGCCCCAGTTCCCCATGGTCTCACCCCCAGTCCCAGCTCCCCATGGTCTCACCCCTGGTCCCAGCTCCCTGTGCTCTCCGTCCATCCAGCACTGACACTGTCCCTGCAGGTCCGTCCACCCCACCTCCCGACTCCCCTGGGCCTGCTGGTCACTGAGGCCTCCAGCCCACCTCCTCCCCTTCTGAGCCCCAGAACCCCCTACCTGTCCCCCGACTGCCAACACAGGGCCACTCCAGGGCTCCCCCTGCCCCCACCCTGCCTGGGACCAGCCTGGTTTGGGGCTGACGCTGCACACCGAGGCCATATCCACCTGAACTCCTTCCAGGCAGCATCCCCAGGGCACAGGCAGGGGTGGCCCAGACCGCTCCTGCTCACGACCCTGCTCCTCATCCACTCTCTGGACAAACTCCCCAGAGGCCTCCACCTGCCCCGTCCTGGTTCCATGAACGAGGCCCACAAGAGGGACCCTCAGGAGCCCAGGAAGTGAGGGGATGGGGTGATGGGGGACACCAGGGATAAGGGTGGGGCAGGGACACGGGAGACACCAGGGTTGACAGTGAAGAAGAGACTCAGGGGACCCTAGGGCTGGGGGAACCCGGGGACACAGGGGACTCAAGAAGGCTCCATGCAGTTCAGAATGAAAACGCAAAATAAACCCGGCAATCATTTGGTGACTCCAGTTTACAGGGGTTTCTGAGACGCGGGAGCCGGCATCGCAGGGTGGTGGTGTCCTGGGGGCTTGGAGGGGATGCTGTGGCCGTGTGTCCGTCGAGGGCCCTAAGACGGTGCCCTTCGACCTCGTGGAGATTCTGCCTCGGAATGTGGAGTGAGCGAGCGAGGGTCAGCGGGGCTTCCTGGCCTCTATGGAGGTTCCTAGCTGGGGCCCCGGGATCCAGGGGGAAGGACCCTGTGCCAGATCCCCGTGCTGTCCAGCCCTGGTTCTGGGTCCTGTTCTGCCAGCGTGTGGCGGAGCCCAGGCACTGGGGTCACTTCTTCATGGCATTGCAGGTCCCTGTCCTAGAGCAGGATCCCAAATGAGAAGGATCAGGGGACCTCTGAGATGCCCAGAGGAGGTGCCCTGGTGATGTCCAGAGAGCCCCTGCCAGGCAGAGCCAGCCCCTGGTGGGGCACCGGGTGGAGAATGGGGCTGGCCGCCCCCGGTGGGTGCACTGCCCTGAAGGAAAGGCCGGACCAGAGGGTGGGCCTCTGGGACATCCTGTGCGTACAGGTTTCTGGTCGCCGTCTCCTGGTGGGTGGTCAGGCAACTCTCCCCCCATGCCTCAGTTTCCCCACATCAAAGAGGAGATCCCTGACCTAGAGGGTCTCAGCCGGACCCTCCAACCCGGCCTGTGATTTGGATCTGGGGAGGGGGGCAGCAAAGTCCCGCACACTGCCCAGGGCCCCTAATCAGCTGGGTCATCAGGCTGGGGCGGCCAGGACGGTTAGGAAGGGCCAGTCCAGGCTGGGCCAGGAGACGGTGCCCATCTGATCTGCCGAGCGAGCACGGGACCTGCTGCCGGATGTGGGGACGGGGACGTCTCAAAGGGTGGCTGTCACGGGAGCCTGAGCGGTCTCCACAGGGCTGCTGGGCCTGGAAGTATTTCTGTGTCTTTTCTTTCTTTAAAACACACTTCTTATTTCAGAACAGGTTTAGATTTATGGAAAAGTTTCGAAGATAGTATAAAAGTGCCATCCGCGTGGCCCAGGCCCACTTCCCATTCTTCCTCAGGAAAAGGCTCGTTGGCCGTAATGAACGAGCCAGCACGATTCGTTATGGTGACTAAAGCCCCGAGCTTACTTGGATTTCCTTACTCCCCTAACCCCCCGTTCCTGTGCCAGGACCTCGCCCCGGATCCTCCTGTCTCCTCCGGCTCCTCTTGGCTGTGACAATTCTCTGGCTTCCCTTGCTTTCGATGACCTTGACCGTTGTGAGGAGGGTTGGTCGGCGATTTTGTAGAGTGCCAGTCAATGGGGATTTGTCTGACGTTTTTCTCATGCTTAGCCTGAGGTTGTGGGTTTTGGGAGGAAGAGCACAGAGGCGAAGTGCCTTCCTGCCCCTGTCGTGGGGCCGCGTGGAGTCGCGTGGGGTCGGGAGTCGTCAACCTGATTCACCGCCGGCTCAGGCATAGCTGGTTCCTCACCGTGCGGCGCCTCCCTGTCGGTCTCAGTGCTGCAGTGTTTGGAAGGAAGGTCCCCTGAACAGCCAGGTGGGGGTTGGGGGTTCTGCTGTGCTCCACCTCCATGAGAGGGGAGAGCTGTGACTTTATTTTGAACTCTGCGTGGAAATTTGTCTCTTCCCCCCATTTAACTAACTAATTTATTCATTTATTTTTTGGAGGGTAGTTCTGCTTGTGGCCGCCAGGGCTGGGAGTGCAGTGGTGTGATCCAGGCTCGACTGCAAGTCCGCCTTGCTGGTGGGTTCACGCCATTCTCCTGCGCTCAGACGCGCCGACTTAGCTGGACTACAGGAGTGCCGCCACTCCGGGCCGGGGCTTTTTTTTGTTTTTTAGTAGGATGGGGTTTCCACATGTTTAGCCAGGGGATGGGTTCCTCGATCTCTTTGGCCTCGTGATCTGCCCACTTGCCTCCAAAGTGCTGGGATTCAGGCGTGGAGGCACCGGGCCTGGCCCTTCCCCCATGTTTACTTCATTCACTATTTTCTTTAATCGGCATTGACTTCTGGGATATTTATTTTTATTTATCTTTCTTTGTATTTCTTTTTTGGAGACAGGTCTTCACCATGTTGCCCAGGCTGGCAGTGGCAGTGGCGGCGATCTTCAGGTCACTTGGCAAACCCCTTACTGGGTTCACAGCAAATTTCTGCCTCAGCTCCCGGTAGCTGGGGAATAGGGCATGAAGCCCCATGGCCAGCTCTTTTTGTTTTTGTAGGATGGGTTTCACCACGTTTGGGCCCCAGGCTGGTCTTGAACTCCTGACCTTCAGGTGGGGTGATCCACCCGCCTCGAGCCTCCCCAAGTGGCTGGGATTCGGCATGAGCCACTGGTGCCCAGCCACTATATCAGTAATATTTTTATTTTATTTTTTCTTAGGACAGGTTTCTCGCTCTTGTGGCCCAGGCTGGATGCAGGTGGCGCGATCTCGGCTCCTGCAGCTTCACTTTGGGGTGAGGAGATTGCTGATTTCCGGAGGGTCAAGGGCTGCGTTTGAGCTCTGACTCAAGCCAAGGGCTGGAGGTGGAAGTAAGGCTCAGTCAAAAAAAGGAAGAAGAAGAAAGAAGATAGAGGAAGGAGAGGGGAAAGGAGGAAGAAGGAGGAAGAAAGAAAAGAGAAAAAAAAAGAAGGAAGGAAAGAAGGAAGGAGAGAAAGAGAGAAAGAGAAAGGCAGGAAGGAAAGAAAGAAGGAGGAGTGAGGGAGGGAGGGAAAGAAGGAAGAAAAGAAGGAAAGAGAGAGAGAGAAAGAGGAAGGAAGGAAGGAAGGAGGGAGGGAGAGAGGGAGGGAAGGAGGGAGGGAAGGAAGGAAAGGAAGGAAGGAAGGAGGGAAGGAAGAGGCATTTTCCCGTAGCTCCGCCGTACAGCCAGCAAGCCCTGAGGTAGCTGTGGGCATCCTACTGACATGTAATTCTCAATTGCCAAATCCAAGTCCATCAAGTGTCCCAATAACGTCCTTGGATCGAAAGGGTCCCGCCTGGGATTAGGAGGCACGCTGGGCTCTGGAACGGGTCCTCGGTCTTTCCTCGGCTCCTCTGGCCCTGAGACCCTTGAAGATTTCTGGCCATCTTTTTGTGGCGCATTCCTCAAGCCGGGCTGATAGTTTTTCACAGTCAGATTGAGGGGATACCCGTTTGGCGGGAACATCACGGACCCGGCTCTGAGGTCTGCCTCCCGTTGAGGGCCTGCACGGTCGACTTCTCCAGTTGCTGGGACGTCCCCCCTCATCTCCTGAGCCAGGGGCGTCTGCCCGGCTTCTCCCCGGGAAGCCGCTCCTTCCCTTAGTGATGACTACGTGTTTCGTGGGGAGACTCCTTGAGACCCTGTAACCAGCCGAGTTCTCATCAGACTCTCTATGTATTCATTTGCTTATTTATAACTGTGTGGATTCATGGTCTCTTGTTTTATTCAATTATTTTAATTTCTTTTTCCCAATCATTTTATAATATGCAAACTCACCCTGATGCGGACACTGGGAGCTCCTGCGAGCTGGCTTCTGCGTCGTCTGACACGTCTCCGACTCTGAACTTTTCCTCCCACAAGATTCTCATGGGCTCCTCTCGTATCCGCCTCTGCGCCAGGCATTCCTCCAGGAAGCCCAGCTCCTGTCGGTGGCAAATGGTATTTAGAGACCACGATCTAGGTGAAGGGGTTGCCCATTGCTCTTGGGTGCCACTGCTCGCAGCCCTTCTCAGGGGACAGAGCCAGGTAACACATGTATGTGTGCACACGTACACTCACACACATGCACACGCAGGCACACACTTAACTCATGCACACTCATACACACACACTCTCTCATGCATATGCAACGCAGGCACACACTTGATCCATGCACACTTACACATGCATTCATACACATGCACACGTGTGCACACACACATGGACACACATGCACATACTAGATCCATGCACACTCACACATGCACTCACATGCATGCACATGTGTGCACACACACACATATACATGCACATATACACACACGAATGCTCACACGCACACACGGACTCATACATTCACACACACATGTATACACACATGTGCGTGCACACACATATGCCCACACATGCATGTACTTGGTCGACACACTCACATATGCACTCACACACATGTGTGCACACTCACATGCACATATGCACACACATAAATGTTCACATGCACACACGAACACACATGCACACATTCACACTCACACATGCACACACATACACACGTATGCACACCCTCACATATGCACACTCACACACTGACACACACACACTCCCACGTACACATCTACACGGCCATCTCTATAATGAAAACCATGAGCTCTCAGTGCCTCAGCTGTGGTTCCACCCCTCAGGGCTCACTCTGCATTTCTCCTCTCCCATCGGTCTGCCTTCTCCAGCAGTGGGGAGCTGGTTCCACCCCCCAATTCATTGATCTCATCAATCCCCCGTGTGCCCCTCACTCTGGGCCAGTGTGGCTGTGGCACCCCAGGTCCACCCTGGGACTCGCCCCACGCGAGGCTTTAGGACCGAATCTATCGGAGGGAAAGGGAAGGGGTGGGGCAGAGAAGTGAGCAGAGCTTGACTGTTTAGAAAGCTTCTGGCCGTTTCCGTGGGCGTGTGGTGGGCACTCCCTGAGGCTTTCACGAAAGCCACCTGACGAGCCAGGCTGGGCACGGAGCGTGGGGGTGCTGGAGCCCAGAAACTGGACCCCCCACCTGCTAGTCCTTGCCCTCTCTGCCCTCAGGGTGACTCGGGAGGGCCTCCGGTCTGCCAGGTGCATGGTTCCTGAGGGCAGGTTGGTGTCATGAGCTGGGTCAAGAGCTACAGCTGGCTGGGCGCGGTGGCTCGAGCCTATAATCCCAGCACTTTGGGAAGCCGAGACGGGCGGATCACGAGGTCAGGAGATGGCGGAGAATCCTGGGCTACGACGGTGAACCGCGTCTTACTAAACAATAAAAAACGCTAGCCGGCGGATGAAGGAGTGAGGTGGCGAGGCTGTAGGTCCCAGACTGCTCGGGGATGTGCGCTGAGGCGCGCAGCGACGAAATGGGCGGGGGGTCATGTGGTGGAACATCGGGGAGGCGGAGTTGCAGTGAGCCGAGTATCCGGGTCTGCACTTCAGCGGGGTCCCTGATCTCTGATGCGAGAGCTTGCGACCATGACCACAACAATAAAACAAGAA